CATTCAAATTTAATACTTGATTCCTACAAATTTACCAAATTGAGATGGTGTGCCAGAACTGAATATTGATTGATTGGAGAAGTTTAACTGAAACCCTAGGAAGTTATATAATCAAGATTGGAGTGTAGCTTGAATGAAAAGGCAGCAAATCGCATTGGGAATCAGCGCGAGGAAATGCATAGAGAAGAGAGAGAAGTACATAACTAAGTGTTTATAATCATCCGTTAGTTCTTCATCCATCAGATCATGCTTCCATGGCAATTGTGGCATCGAAGCTGACCGAGGTCAACTATGTTTCTTGGAGTCATGCGGTTCGAAGATCACTCGAAACGCGAAACAAGATCTGATTCATCACCTATGAAGTGCAAAAGCCGACGATTGGAGATCCAAACTATGAACAATGCATGCGAGTAAATGATGTGGTAATTGCTTGGACTCTAAACTCAATTTCACCTAAATTGGTTGAAAATTATGATTTGGGTGATAATGCAAAAGAATTATGGGGTGAATTAAAACAAAGTTATGGAACAAGTAATGGACCTTAGGTATATAATCTTAGACGTGAAGTTACTACTATCTCTCAGGGTAATATGAGTTTAGCTACCTATTATTCGAAATTGAAAAGATTGTGGGATGAACTTGTGTGTTTGTGGATCCACCTGATGAATGTGTTTTCCGTGGTTGCACTTTCCTTTGGAATCGAGTTCGAAACAGAGAAAACTTGCACAGGTTGATGGAGATTTTGAGTGGCTTGAATGATATATATACAGCAGAAAAAAGCCAAATCTTAATGATGGATCCTTTGCCAGACGTAAAGAAAGCTTATTCCATGGTATTAACTGTTGAGAAACAACATCAAGTGCACAGAACTTATATGGAACCTGTTGAACAAAGTGCAATGCTGGCACTAAGGATTTATAATACTCCAGCTGCAGGATCAAGGTCTATCAATGGTTTTGTATCCAATCTGAGAAGAGTTGCTTCTTACGGAAAGGAAAATGATTTTTAAAGAGATAAATCTACAAAACGGCTCTTGAAGTGTGATTATTGCAAGATGAATGGACATCTTAAATATGAGTGTTTCCAAATTGTGGGTTATCCAGAGTGGTGGGATAGTTATAAGGAGACAAGAAAACTTATGGGAACAAGGAATAGTGCATACATGGTTGAAACTTCTAATGCTGGTGAAATCAGGATAAAAATGAACCAGCAGCTAACGAGGATGTGATGTCATTGATGAACAATCTTTTAAGGATGATGAAAGGGAAGACGAGTGAGCCAGAAGGAAAAAGGATAAATTTTGCTCACTATGAAGACTTTGCAGGTATGAGTACTTACAAAGCACTCAGTGCAATGTGTATAGTAGTGAACAAGTATCTTAAATTTTGGTTTCTAGATACAGGAGCAATAGATCATATGGTTGCACTCCTTGAATTCCTCTATCATTATTTGCCAGGTTCCCATTTCACTCATGTTTCTCTTCCAGATGGCAGTGTCAAAAGTGTAACACACATTGGCATAGCTAAACTTTCAGAATCTTTAAATATTTAAGACTGTTTACATATCCCTACCTTCCAATATAATCTTCTATCAGTTAGCAAACTTGCTGCTGATTCTCATATTGATTGTTGTTTTTCAACTGACTATTGCTCACTACAGGACCAATTGACTAAGATCTTGGCAATTGGCAGAATCCTGAATAAGTTCTATGTCATTGATGACTCTTCTTTCACACAAGACACCATTTCTACCTTCATTAATAATCATGTAGCACATCCTTTTGTGTTACAGTTCAACTACGAACTCGAGCATTTTGTCAATCTAGTTTCTAGCCTTTCAATTAATGTACTTTGGCATCATAGGCTTGGGTATGCGTCAGATTCTGTAATAGCAAAATTGGGTGTTTTTTCTGCTTCAAATTCAGAGAAATGGATATGTGATGTATGTCCTTCTCAAAACAGCAAAGGCTAAAATTTCCAGTTACTACCATTCAATCTTCTAGAATTCTTGAATTGATTCATGTAGATATTTTGGGTCCTTATAAACATAAATCTATGAATGATGCTTATTACTTTCTTACTTTGGTTGCTGATTTCAGCCATTCTACTTGGACTTATCTAATGCAATCAAAGTCAGAAGTCACTTCCATGCTACAAATTTTTCTTAAAATGCTCGTTATTCTGTTTGATTTACCTACCAAAACTATTAGATCTGGTAATGGCTTGGAATTCATAAGTCAAGATTGTCAATCCCTATTTCTTTCTCTTGAAATCATTCATTAAAAATTAGCTCCATATATATACACCTCAACAAAATGGAATAGTAGAGAGAAAACAAAAACATTTGTTACAAGTAGCAAGATCTTTACTATTTCAATCTAGTTTCCACTTACTTTTTGGGGGTATTTAGTTTTGACAACCGAATATATCGTCAATAGAATTCCTTCATCATTGTTAAACTGGAAAACACCTTATGATATTCTTCATTCTAAACCACCAGACTTAACTCATCTAAGCGTGTTAGGATTTCTTTCTTATGCCACAAACGCTCTTCCTCATAAAGACAAACTCACTTCAAGGGCCCAGAAATGTGTGTTTCTAGGTTATACATCTGGGGAAAAGGCCTACAAACTCTATGATATTGCTGCCAGAAAAGTTATCAGCTCCAGAGATATAGTTTTTCATGAAGATGAATTTCTATATTTGCCAACATCTTCTACTCATATTGATCAATTTGATAATATTCAGGTCAATCCTGATGACCCCTTGACATCTTATGATCATATATTTCCTAATGTGGTCACTCCAAATAATCCTTTATCACTCACAGACTCATCTCATGAATCTATTTGTTCATCTTCTTCGCATGTTATCCCACATATATCATCAGAAGTACTTAATCCTCCAATGCTCAGGAGAAGCAACATGACATCTAAACCCCCTGAGACATAAAATGAATTTGTCATAAACACACCTCAAAGAACTAACATAGCCTCAGATACTTCTGTTTGTTCCTTTGATCTTTTATATCTTCCTACTACTTTTTTAGCCAGTCATCTTGCATTCTCGTCTAGTATTGACACAATAAAGGAACCAAAAACTTAATCACAAGCTCGATTAAATCCTGCTTGGGTGGAGGCTGTGAATGTTGAGATTACCGCTCTAGAAAATAATAAAACTTGGACTTTGACACAGTTGCGACCTGGAAAGAAGGCAATAGGCCCTAAGGGGGTGTATAAGGTGAAATATATGCCTGATGGATCTGTTGACAGGTATAAGGCAAGGATAGTTGCCAAGGGATATAATCAAGTTGGGGGGGAGAGGGGAAGACTATTATGATAGTTTTTACCCTATGGCCAAGGTAGTTACTGTTAGACTACTATTGGCCATAGCTACTGCGAAACACTGGAGTTTGCATCAGACGGATATCAACAATGTTTTTTTTTGTTATCAACAATGCTTTTTTCCATGGATCTCTTGAAAAAAAAGTGTACATTCAGCCTCCTGAGGGTTATGTTATTCCACCCAGAAACTTAGTATCCAAGTTGAAGAAATCATTGTCCGGCCTCAAACAGGCCTCTAGACATGCCTCTAGACATTTGTCCATCAGCCAATGATCCTTGTGTATTCACGTGTCATACAGGGACATTTTATAGCTGTTGTGGTTTTAGTGATTCAAGATGTAGCGAGCCACGACAGTAGGAACACCGCCTTTGCGACTAGTAATTCCAACGGTCTTAATGTGCTTTTATTAATCTCTATAGTCACGAGAGTAGTCATAGGGTTAGTTTAAGTAAGAGGGTTATGTCACGAGAGTGTATAATTCTTAAATCGGTGAGTTGTTGTGAAATTAGTGAAAGTCAAAAGTCATATATCTATAAGCCTTTGCCCTAGGTTTTCTTTTACTTGCTAGGTTTTTTTTCTATTTAATTAATTAGATTTTAATTATTATTTTTAGGTTTAGATTAGTATAAATTGATAAATTATTAATATAAATAATAATAAGAAATAGTTTTAACCGGTACTTGGTATCTTTCTCTGTGGGATCGACCCTGCTTGCTACTTTACTACTAGTAGTTGTATTGAGTAGGTAATTAATATTTGACTAGTGTGACGACAGCTTGTCAGGTTTCTTATTATAGGGGTTGATTTGTACATTCTATAAATATAAGGGTTCAGTTGTAAATAGGTAGGGAGTAAGGCGATTAGTCGTTTTTCAGTTCCTGCACAATGTGTATATGATTAATAATATTGTATAGAATTGGCCACAATTAATGAAGAAGATCTTTGATCAAGAAATAAACCCTAGGTTCTCGATTTCTTCTCTTTCGATACAAATTTAATACTTAATTCCTGCAAATTTACCAAAATTAAGAGGCAGTTCGGCAGCAATTATATTTTGATGAAGAATATCTAGATCTAATGCCTGTGGTAATATGAAAAAATCAGATTAGAACAATCATATATTCTCGCATCCACTGTAGAAGTTCTTGCTCTCCATCCCCAAAAATTCCAACATGAAGTGATTAACTAAAATCCATGATGCCACATAAAATATCAAAAGCTCATTCTATCGTCTAGCTGCATTGTCAGAATCTGGTTGAAAACTTATTATCATAGAGTATTGATTATGCAGATCATATTGGTATACCATGATCAAAATGATATACGGCCAGGTTTTGATATTTTTCTATTCAACAACAACTAACTAATCAGCTAGAACAAATGGTACTCAGAAGATCCACAACCCAAAAGTAACCATCGATTTATTTGTGAATCGAACGTACAACAATCATCAACCATGCATCTCTAGATTATTATTCTTATAAGTAAAAAACATCAAACAAAAACTGAAGGAGAGACTTCTATGGTTGGTGGGTGTCTGTAGACATATTAAACAATTAACTACGACACCGTTTTTGTAATCAATCATGAAGAAGAGAACATATATAATCGATCTTCTTCTTCATCATCAAACTAGCCTTGCTTTCTTGTTCTTACCTGCTGCTGCGGCTTTATTATCCTTCTTGTTGTTGGTGGACAAAGGCTTCATCTCGTTATAGATGTCGAGAATGGATCGGAACTTCCTATTCCCTGGCGGGAAAGCTTCACCAACATCGAAGTTGTCTTCCTCAATCATTGTGTTCTTCAAAGCCGAAGATATTTCAATGCTTTTCCCTACGCTTTCTTCATCTCTTTTCTTCTCCAACCCGCCATTATCTTTGCCCTCCTTAGATGAAAAGGAGGAGGAATCACCGTTGAGTTGAATCAATTGGAGAGCTGCGTTAACTCTTCATTGCGAAACACGGAAATTCATCTAGGATTTTCGGGCATTCTCTGTTTGCGATGCTGGTCTCGACATTGAGATTTCAGGTATTTTCGGGTATTTCGGAAAGAATAAAAGAGGAGCGTTTTATAGAAAGGATAAATAGTAGATGCAATGGTAGTATTAAATTTTGTGTCTTTCATCTCTTTTATACCATGACAATATGATCATCAAAACAACCATGCTTGACTCAGTTTGAAACCTGTAAAGAAAGAAAATCATAGTTGGCAAAGAATAAATAAGTAAATAATATTTTTTAGATCCTGCATGCTTTTAAATTTTATCCAAAATTGTTCAAATCAGTAATATTGCAAGATAATTTTTACGATTTTGAAATGTTATTTGCTTATTTAATTTTGGCCAAATTTGTTGTGCATTTCTTTTTAACATACTACTTAAGGCAACTTGATTGTAGAAATTCAATTCCTTGGCAATTCCATTTTCCAGTCTTGATCCAGCTTATTGTCTTACTCGAAGCCTGCACTTATTCCTTATGCAGCCTCTGTTTCTCATGGAGCGGCTTTTCATCTTGACGTTTTACCTCATGGGCACATCATAGCGGCGCCAACTCTATGTTTCGGAACAATGATTCCACCGGGAGAAGGTTGGCTTGTCATCACCTTTATCATGGTGCATACTTATTGATAGGCAAGTTCAATTCCTTGACAAGCTTCATTTTCCGGTCTTCATCCAGCTTATTGTTTTACTCAAAGCCTGCACTTACTCCCCTCACAGCCTCCTCTTTTCTCACCAAGCGGCATGTTATCTTAATCTTCCACCTGATGGCCACTCCACAACAGCGGCGGCTCAATGTTTCAGAACAATGATTTCACCAAGAAAAAAGATGGCTTGTCATCACTTTGAATCATGATGCATATATTTTGATAGACAAGTTTAATTCCTAGTCAAGTTTCATTTTCCGGTCCTGATCTAACTTAATGTTTTACTTGAAGTCTGCACTAACTCCTTTCTCAGCCTCCTCTTTTTTCTCAATGAGTGGCGTCTCATCTAAACTTTCCATCTCATGGCTGCCCCAAAACGGTGGCGGTCCAATGTTTCAAAACAATGATTCCACGGAAAAGGATGGCTTACCTTGAATCATGGCGCAAACATTTTGATAGACTAAAAAAGTTTGTTCGTAGTTATTATAGACTTTTATTATCTTATTTATTATTGGAACCATAATTTGATCAAGGGGAGAATATTGGGTGTGGCAATCCTTTGGAAATAGTAGGCCAATGAATTATTCAGTTTGGAAATGAACTCTATCCGATTGAAAACCAATGCTTCACTGATTTCTTATCACTGTTACCAGACGATTAGCCCATCACACACATAGGGTCAGTGGTTGTGGAGAAATAGGAAAACACTAGGAAATACTAAACAAAATTTTTAAGTGAAATAGAAAATACCAAGCAAGAGTGGAATGCCTAAATTAATAAGAAACATTAGAGGAAGGGAAAGAGAGAAAAATTTTAGTGTGACCACATAACTTTCACGATCTTGGAATGTTATCTACATGTTTGTTTTTTGTCGTGCTCATGTCGTAGATTTTCAGTTCCGAGTTTGTTTTTTTTCGTTCACATGTCGTATAGTTTCATTTCTAACAATTAATAAAGCTTTATGTTTGATATGTAATAGACTGATAGGAAGTGTTTGTGAGTGTTAAATAATTATTTGAATTAAAATAAGAATATTGTCTCCATACAAATATATAATCCAGAACCACACAATCTTAGCACCACTCCCACTCAGATGCCATTCTATAAATTCTTCCATCTCCATGATGAAGACTTTCGTCGAAGATGAAAAACACCTATAGTCTCACAACAGCCATCCAAAATGAGTTAACATTGGTAAAAATGGCATCAAAACAAGAAAGAAAATTAACATTACGATTGTATTCATGACAACATACGTGGAATCCAGAATGTAATTTTGGTCTATTTGTTTTGTTTTCTTGGCCTTACCTAATTGTTCTTAAATTTTTGCAACTCTAATATTTTCAATATTGTCAAAATGGGTTCTAAGAACGTTGTCAATCATCAATTATCAAATTTTTGCACACGCACTGGCCCAACCTCTCACCGAACAACACATCATCTTGATCTTCCGCTTTATCTTCATCATTTTCCACTTCAAGTTCTGGATCAAGGTCCGGTGGCAGCAGTAGCGGTTGGTGGTGGTGTTGGCCACTTTGGAGAATGACACCGATCTCCTCATCACGTTGCCGACGTTCAAAGACCTGCAAATTACCATTATATTCGTAGATCATCATATTATTAGTGGTAATGAAAAAAAAGAAAAACAAAAAGAATATTTTTATCATAACACTCTTGAAATGAAAAGAAATGATGTGAAACACCATGGATATTAATATATCATAAGGATTGTCATTTTTTTGAAACAGTGATTCCACCTAGAAAAAGGATGGCTTATCATCATCTGGGATCTTGGTACATACTCTTTTATAGACTGAAAAGTTTTCTTTGTACTTAGATTCTAGACTTTTATTCTTTTATCAATGTTAATGGGTTATGATTATTTAAAACCATAGGATCTGTGGAGGTAGAATGTTATCAAGGGATGAATATGGCCGGCAAGCCTGTGGAAGTAGTTGGCTAGAGAAGAATTCTAGGGCGACCACATAACTTACACAATACGTTGAGAAATTATTTTTGTATTTCTTTTTGTATTTGATTTTGAAATTTGTTTTTTTCGTGCTCATGTCTAAGATTTTGTTTCGCGCTTATCTGTAATCATTAATAATGCAGTTAAATCTGTTGAGAATGTAAAGTTGCATTCATTAAAGTTTATTTCCTCTATTGTTGTATAATCTATACATTCAGTTGGGGACAATCTATTTTTTGTTTTCTAAGAAAAGGTTCTCTCAATATTAGGAAACAGGTTAAGTTCGATCATGTAACTCGCACGGACATGAACTTTGTTTTTATTTGTATTTTGGATGACACACCCCTAAGTACCTCTTTTATCGTAAGCTCTTGGCCCATATCATAATAATTTTCATGTAGCAGTCTCTTGATATTTTAATCCATATATCCATATCTAGTAAATGCAAATTTTTTAGGTAACTTAGTACTACTGAAAAGGGTAAGTTTGTAGATAACAAAAAAATTTTCATATCCAAAATATCTAAATATTTGTCTGAAGGGTAGTCCCTATTATTTGAATTATGCTATATTCACAAAAATTATTAGTATGTTTGAATCGATCTCCTTAGTATATATTTTTTATATATTCAACTGAGATTCCTATATGAAAATAACATAGAACATAGTAGGATAGCGACTTTCATCGTCCATGCAATAGAAATGGTTAGGAAATCGAAAGAACTCGATGAAATGGTGTCGAGAAAGTGATTAGGTGGCCTTCTGTGGTGGTGATAATCTACTCAAGACATGACAAAAATGAGAATGATAAGTGGATAGTGACGAAACCTGGAATTATGGCTACAATTGGTCAGTGGAGTTCCGCTTAGGGTTTCCTGCAAAAGAGGGTCTCGGGAGTCTTCCAAGGGTAGACACTCCGATACTTAAGTCAGAAATAGGGTTATAGAGAAGTGTGTATATGATTATTAGAGCTAGAGATAGCGTACCTCAATTATGGAGTAATCATCCCTATTTATAGACCTAGAAGATGTCCGAATCTCACTAGGTTTAACACCCTTGCATTGTCTCCACAGAGTCGGTTGGACTCTGGACTCAGTAAATGGTCCGATCTAACGTAGGTGGTGAATATGGACACGGAAAGTGCCCATGTCAAGTATTAGTTATATGAAAGAAACAAAACTTGACAAAAAATAAAACTGACCTGGACTCGGCCCAAGTTGACTGGACAAGTCTCGGCCCATAATGCATCGAGCAGCCCTGATGATGTAATTCGCGGGTCAGGACCCGATCCGAGGAGGCGACCCGCTTCAAAATCCCGCCTAACATATTAAATTTTACCGTGCGTAGTAAGTGGGCACGTTTTCCAAAGGGCGGCTCTATCATCATTACTTGCCCCTTGAACTCTGTCCAAACTGTCGAGTCATGGAAGAGAGGAATTGCTTATATCAGGGAAAAAGCCAAATGCTTTTATTCTTTCACCTCTTTTCAAAATTTCGAATCTGAAAAAACAGAAGCAAGTCTCCTGCCTCTGCACATCACTCGCTGGTGTTCAGGACAAATAGATAAATGTATTCATCCAACCCCACACTTGGTGTGAGGGCAATGCATTTATACTCGAGTATAATTTGTATAGCGCTTGATGGCCGGATGTAAAGTAAACGGCTCTCTCGAGGGAAATGGATACGGGTTTCCCGATGTTAAAGTACCGCGATCTACGGCAAGTACAAGGAGAATTCCTTGGTTTTTGTGTCCGAATGTTGAATACGCGGCTCAATTCAAGGATGGCCCTAAAGCGGGAGTCCATCTCGTAGAGTAGTCATAAGATAGTGTTGACACATTTAGAATATGAAAAATATGCAATGACTTTCATTGAATAATTACCCGAGGACCCGTGTTAGCATTACATATAAAGGAATGAAAATAACAAATCACATAAAGCAAGTAATTTGGCAGGAAAAACTTAAACATAGAACCTGTGTAGGTTCTGAATGTTCCACCATCGAGGGAGGATGGTTCCTGTGTCATCTGTTGTATGCAGGCAATAACTGCCAGAAGGGGAAGCCTTGATGACTCGATAGGGTCCTTCCCAATTTGCTAATAACTTGCAAGGAGTCTCTGCTCAACTGGCTTCATTCTTCCTAGGTACCAGGTCTCCGACTGCAAAGTCAGTGCTTTTGACTCGCTTATTGTAGTGTATTCTTAGGATCTCTTTGTACTTAGCTTCTCGGACTTTAACAGTGTCTCGCCGCTCCTCGAGTAGGTCGAGGTTAGTCAAGATATCTTCATTGTTGGTGTCTTCATCAAAATTGATGGTTCGAGGACTAGCGAGGCCAACCTCGATTGGAAGTACAACGTCCATACCGTAGACTAAACTGTAAGGAGTTTTGTCTGTCGAGGAATGAGATGTAGTTTGATAGGCCCATAGTACATGTGATAGTTCGTCGACCCATGTTCCCTTGGCACTTTGCAACCTGGTCTTGATTCCTTGTAAGATAGTTCTATTTATGGATTCAGCTTGGTCGTTTGCTTGTAGATGAGCAACAACATAAAATCGGCGTTCGATTTGTATTTCAGCACACCGTGATTTGAAAGGATCACTCTCAATCTGAGTCTCGTTGTTTGACACGATTACCTTGGGCACTCCAAAGCGGCAAACCACGTTTTGCCAGAAAAAATTTAACACCTTCCTTCCAGATATCGAGGGCAATGGTATCGCTTCTACCTACTTAGTAAATTAATCTACTGTCATGATAACCCAGCGTAGTCCTCCTGCCCCTTTTGGGAAAGGGCCAATGCCCCATCTCATGTTGTGGTTGTCGGGTGATGGGAGAGAATTGCTGACATCTATCGCACTTTTGCACAATTGATAGGCGTTCTTGAAAACTGTAGGCCAAAAGTAACCTGATCGAAGGACCTTTGTGGCCAATCCTCATGCTCCCATGTGAGCACCGCATGATCCTTATGAACTCCCTCGAAAACATAGGGCGCCTGTCTTGGGCCGATGCAATGCAACATTGGTAGGAGATACTCGTGCTTGTAGAGGATTCCGTCCTTCAAGGTATACTTGACCCCTTTTAACATTAATGCTCGAGCTGCAGACTTATCACTGGGGAGAGTCTCGTTCTCGAGATACTGAATAAATGGTGTCATCCATGTATCTCCATCTTCAGCGATCATGAGTGATACTCGAGGCTGGATGCTAGGTTCGGGGATTATGTTGACCCAAACTTTTATGACTAAGGTGTACAAAATTGAACAAAGCTAGCTTGCTTAAGGCGTTGGCCCTCTTGTTGCTAGTTCTAAGGATGTGGGATATGGAAAATTTGTCAAACTTATCCCTGATTTCGAGGACGTTCTCAAGATATGGCCTTAAATGTTCCTCGTGGACGGTATAGTCACCATTGATTTGCTTAACCACTACCTGAGAATCGCAGAAAACTTCTAAATTCCAGACCCCCAATCTTAGGGCCATGTTCAACCTCGTGATGATTGCTTCGTATTCGATATATTGTTGGTAACCGGGAAACTGAATCGCAAGGCATAAGAATATTCTGCATCATATTCCTTTATCTCCTCAATTTCTTGTAGTGCCGTTGGTTTGGCCAGGATTATGCCGGCTCCCCCCCCCATCTTCACAAGATGAATCGTCGACGTAAAGAGTCCAAGCTCGAGGATATGCGGGAATATGCTTTTGTATTTGCCTCTTTGAGGACGGTTCGGGTATGGTATCTGGAGTATGGGGTAGTTCGACGAGGAAATCTGCAAATACCTATCCTTTTTTAGCCGTTCTAAGCTTCCGCTGTTCATGCTCCTTTTTCGGATCTTGTTTGCTATCGCTGCCAGGTTGGGCGCTTGATTTATCTGACTATGACTCGTCCTGAGTTGTCTTATTCTTTTCACATTTTGTCTCAGTCTATGTAGAAGCCTACGTAGGCTTATTGGGACGCTGCTCTTCGGGTTGTTCGGTACTTGAAGGGTACTCCTGGTCAGGGTATTTTTTTTTCGTGCTGATTGTGATTTACGGCTCTCCGCCTGGTGTGATTCAGATAGGGCTGGTTGTCCTTTAACTGAACGGTCTCTTACTGGTTGATTTATTCTTCTTAGTGCTTCTCCCATTTCTTGGAAGACTAAGAAACAACAGACTGTTGCTCGTTCCTCAGCTGAGGCCAAAATCGCTCCATTGCATCGAATATTTGTGAGTTGAAGTGGTCGAAGGCGCTTCTTCTGAGCCTTGGCGTTTCTCATTCTTCGCTAATTCATTTATATTGTGATAGTCAGGCTGTCTTGCATATTGCGGCTAATCCTGTCTTTCATGAATGCACAAAACATATTGAGGTCGATTGTCACTTTATTCACAAAGAGATTCGTGCTGGCACCATTCTTCCCAGCTATGTGTGTACTAATGTGCAACTTGCGGATCTCTTCACCAAGGCTTTTGGCAAACAGCAGTTTGAGTTTTTATTGTCCAAGCTGGGCATTCGCAATCCCCATGCTCCAACTTGAGGAGAGGTATTAGGGTTGTAAATATAACATTACAATACAGTACAAAGTTGCCTCTTTTATGGTTGTGTGTATTATATATATGATGTACAATCCCTAAAGTATATACGATTTTTCACGGCTGAAGATTTATGCTAGCCGTCTCTTA